TATATATATATATATCATTCAATTCTATTGATTTTTACAAAAAAAAAGAGAGAGAGAAACAGATCAGACAAATACTGATATGGAATGTATAACAAAAATAAGTAAAAATAAGTTAACACATAATTCAAATCTATATTAAAGTGCAAATGATGAACATCCATTAACAGCTGCTCTTGATCGTGGTACATTATTCATTAAAATTGCACCATTAAATGTAACTGTTAAATCTGTTTCATCATTTTCAGTTTCTTCAATAATTCGATTTGTTAAATGATTATTTGTCATATATGTATATAATTGTTGTGGTAATGAATGATACCATGAATAATCCGTTGTTGATTGTTGATGTTCTTCTATTGAATAATTCGTTGTATTATTATTATTATTATTATTAGTTAATAAACTTTTTGTACTTGTTAAATCATCATAAACAATTGGTGTTGGTATTGGACGTGGTGGTGAACGACTTGAAAAATTATTATATAATAAATCACTTAATGCTAAACTATCACGATTACGTTGCATTGTTAATTCTCTTTTTATTGGTGTTAATAATGATGATGTTGTATATAAACTTTGTTTTGATTCTGTTATATTTAAATTTGATGATAATGTATTTGTTGATTGTAATAATTTTGTTTTATTTAATTTAATACGATAACAACAACAACATGTTATTATTACACATATAAACATAAATATAAGAATTATTATTAATATAAGTATAATATAAAAAACCAAATGATTTGTACGTATAAATGTATATATATTTGATATAAATTTAAATGGATATATTAATGATGATGATGATAATAATAATGTTGTAAAATTATATTTATATATTTGACTTGGTTCACTTATACCAATACGATTAATTGAATAAATACGAAAATAAAATTCAATTGAATTATTATTTAATTGAAATCTATTTAAATTTAAATAATAAGGAGATTTTAATGTTTGATCAATAAATTTCCATGTATGACCATAATCATTTGATAATTCAATAAGATAATATTCAGATTTTATTGATGATTTCCATATTAATTCATTATGTTTATTTATAAATAAATCATATGGTGGTAATGGTGAAGTTTTTTGTGGACCTGCTTGAATTGATTTATATATACATGGACCACATTGTATTGTACAAGCACATAATGAAAATTCATAATATTGATATGGATCTAATTCATTAATATATAATGTTGTTATATTTGGAGATAAAAGTTGTTTTATAGTTTTAACACGAGTTGATGATGTATTTATTAATGTTGAAAATGATAAACGATTATCATATGTTAAATCATATGAACGAAGAATACCATTTAAAATTTTTGGTGCTTGCCAATCAATTTGTAATGAAGTAAATGTAACATATGAAAAAGTTAATTGATCGATTGGACCAGGTGCTAAAAAAAAAA